AGCAATTAGACTGTGTTAAAATCAACTTACCATAGTAATTTAAAAAATAAATTTGGAACTCTAGCTGGTTGGGCTCAGTGGACAGAGCGTCAACCTGCAGACTGAAGGGTTCTGGATTCGATTCCAGTCAAAAGGGCACTTCTGGGTTACGGGCGTGGTCCCCAGTAGGGGGCCTGCGGGAGGCAGCTGATCAATGATTCTCTCTCATCATTGATGTTTCTATCTATCTCTCCCTCTCCTTCTCTGAAATTAATAAAAATATATTTTAAAAATTAAATAAATAAATAAATTTGGAGAATCTGTCCATTTTATTAGTATCTGAGTTATCACGCTGGGGGGCAGGGGGAGCACACTTAGAAATAAGTGTTAAAGTACGAAGGATAAAATAAAACATGTAGACCATTCGAAAGCAACGCTGGGTATTTAAATAGACTGCTTCTTTAGATAAAACAGGCACCAGAGAACTTAAGCAGACAACCTATGCATCCATCAGCCCATGAATGAGTAAAGAAAATGTGGTATACTAGTGTATAAACAATGGAATAACATCCAGCCTTAATAAAGGACATCTTGTCATTTGTGACAACATGGATGGAACTAGAGGGCATTATGCTATGTGAAATGAGTCAAACAAAGACGAACCCTGCATGATATCATTTTTATGTGGAATCATTAAAAAAAAGTCGATTTCATAGAGACAGTGGGAAAGTGGTTGCCAGGGGCTGGGGGAAGAGGGAATAGAGAGTTTGGTAGAAGGTTACAATTGTAAGATGAATAAGGTCTGAGGACCTAATATATTTATAACATGATGACTATAGTTCCTAGCACTGTATTGTATAATTTAAATGTGCTAAGAGAGTAAAATTTAAATGTTCTCACAAAAAAATGTAAATATATGAGCTGGATTTGTTCATTAACTAAGGAGGAATCCTTCCATAATGTCTATGTATTATCAAAACATCACATTGTACACTGTAAATATCTTCCAATTTCATTTCTCAGTTATATCCCAATAAAGCTAGAAAAGAACTTTATGCAGGAACTGTATACAAATTAAAAACAAAAAGCCAGAGAGGGTGCATGCAGACTGTGACAGAATACTCTACCTGATTTACAGGTATGACATAGCCTCAGCGCAGGGGTGAGGACCAAAGGCATGAACCTAAGTAACAGGGAAATGGAGTTTTGACCAGACACGGGAAGGCTAAAGACAATAGGAACTGTACTTTTACTGTACCCTAGTTGGTAAGGTTGCTTCTCATGGATGTACAGGTTAACGATTCTGAAACTACTTTACATGTATGCAGGAGCCGAACAAATAAATACATGGATGGTGGATGGGGAGCTGGATTTCCCACTGTCGGAGAGGGACGTTACAGATAACCAAGGGCAAAGGCCTCCGGGAGTCAGGTAGTGCTAGGGTAGAGCGGAGACATGAGTGTGCGGTTATGTTTAGTTTAGGATAGACACAGAAGTCATTATAGATGTGTGGTGCGGACATGGGTCAGTATGCATCTGTGCATTTCCTGGATCTGTCCACTGAGAGGGCTTGGAAGCAGTGACATCCAGAAGCAACAACATATCCAGGTCTTGGTTTCTAAATACCATTCTCCAATCAGAGTAACCAGGGCTCCTTGGAGAAATGGGCAATTATAGGTACAGAGCTCCTTGTATTGCCAGAATATAAGGAAGTGCTCAAAAACAAAACAAAACAAAAAACACAAAGGAGCCGAAACAGTGGCTCAGTGGTACAGCGTCGGCCTGCGGACTGAAAGGTCCCAGGTTCGATTCCGGTCAGGGGCATGTACATTGGTTGTGGGCACATCCCCGGTGGGGGTGTGCAGGAGGCAGCTGGTCGATGTTTCTCTCTCATCGACGTTTCTAGCTCTCTATCTCCCTTCCTCTCTGTAAAAAATCAATAAAATATATTTTTTAAAACACACACACAAAGGATGTGGGCATGTCAAGAGGAATAGGAGCCAACCAAAATAGCTCCTAAAGCCAAAGCGAGAGTGATTTAAACCACGAAATACTCAGCGTGGTCCTGCATTATAACCCCAAAGTGTGAAATAAATATATGTAAATTTATGTAGAGGGAAGAGCCATCTTCCTTGTGGAAGAATTCCCTTACCCCTAAAAACCAGAAAGACAAAAGCCTGTTTCAAAGGGAACTTCTGCCCCGGCTGCTGTCCAGCGCCTGCCAGGGGCTCAGAGTGGACCCTGCCTGTCCTGCCCTGCTGATCACAGAGGAGGGAGAAAGTGGGAGAGGAGGTAGGCACCTGCAGAGGTGATCACGGATGTGTGTGATTAGGGCACCATGCTTGACTGAAGTGGATCTGTGCTTGGGGCCATGGGGCCATGGTGGGGGTCCCAGGAAATAGCGGCTGTTTTCCTGCCACGTGTTTGCAATACTTGCTTTGGCATTGACCACGTTGGGCAGCTTTCAGGACAGTGGGAAGGGGTGGCGGGTCTGGTCAGGGACAGCGCTGAGCGTTCACGCTGTCAGGTATAATGCCCAAGCTTCCCTCCCTACACCATACTTCCCTCATCCCTGGTCCTCTGGGAAGATAAATAGATCCGGAAGGGAGAGGCTTTAGCTCCTGATTGGGGGGTGGAGGGGGTAGGAGGACTGATCAGCTCATCAATCAGGAGAGTGTAATTGTACGGAAAGGACAGAAATCACTCCCCGAAGGCCGCAGACTTGGGGATCTGCCCAGAAGAGGACTCTACAGTTGCTAACAGTAGCCCCATTCAGCTTGGGCGCATAATGATTTTAAAACTAATCAGGAACCAAAGCCGGAGGCTGGGGACAAACACAAATATCTTGTTGACAGAGCACACATCGAGATTTTGCCGGATAGGAAGTTGCTGAGGAAGGTCAGAGTGATGTCATGGGGTACGCCAAGCTTTCATCCTGAAACTGCCGGGCCCCCGGCCCCATCTGCAATTCCCCGGGGGCCCCTTGACATGACTTCCTATAAAATAAATCGTAAGTTAGTTTCCAGAAATCAGTATGGAAGCCCTACACGAAGTAACATTAAACAAAGCAAGGAAATTTCCACCAGAGTTACTCGCTTCCTCTTCCTCCCTTGCCTTATAAATAGACCCGAGACTTATAATGATAGTTTTCTTACTTAGGACTTGAGTATCGTTACCTCCCTACATGGCCGTCCAAAGTAAACTTCCTTTCTGCTCTTCAGCCTGGACAACAGCACTTATCCCTACCTAAGCCAGTATCAGCTGGATATTTTTTCATAAACTGCTATTTTAGGTTTTCTGTTTTGGTTGAGGAGGAAGTAGTGTTTTTTTTTTTTTTTTTTTTTGTGTGTGTGTGTGTGTGTGTGTGTTTTCTTTCATCAAAGGAATACTTGTTCTGGGAAGTCAGGGGGAGGGATGTTTCTCCATCTAGATCAGAGGAAGAAAATGTATGGCATCGTGTGCCAGGGGCTGGTTATGAATCTTAACTGGTCCTGTTTTTAATAAAACATTTTAATAAAACACTGCAGGGCTGCTGTGCTCACCCTTTGATTTATTCAATAGTTATTTACCCCTCCTGGGCTGGGCCCTGAGGATGCACAGCGGACCCCAAAGCCTCTGTTCTCAGGGAGAGACTCAGTCAGAGGAAGTGGCACAGCGAGGTTTGCAGAAGGGAAAGGAATCCGAGGAGGAGTGAGGGGAGACTTCCTGGAGGAGGTGGTGCTTGGGCTTCATCTCGAGGGCATAGCTAGGTGAGGCCGTGTGGGTGGGGCAGAGAGGACAGCTGAGGCGTGGAGGGTAAACAGTGAGAGAGAGAGAGAGAGAGAGAGAGAGAGAGAGAGAGAGGGTGTGTGTGTGTGTGTGTGTGTGTGTGTGCACGAGGTGGGTGAGTGTGGAGGCGGCATGGAGGCTGGAGGGAGCTGCAGGAGGGCGCCCATGGGAAGGTTGACGGGAAGAGCAGTGAAGGGGAGAAGCCGGGCTGTGCAAGTATCTCCATGGGGGTCAGGAACAGGGGCAGGAAGTCAGTGCTGGCATGTCACACTGGCTGGACTGGTTTCTGGTTAAAGGGAGGAGAGGGCCAAAACCGGTTTGGCTCAGTGGATAGAGCGTTGGCCTGTAGACTGAAAAGTTCCAGGTTCGATTCTGGTCAAGGGCGTGTACCTTGGTTGCGGGCACATCCCTGGTAGGGGGGTGTGCAAGAGGCAGCTGATCGATGATTCTTTCTCATCAATGTTTTTAACTCTCTATCCCTCTCTCCTTCTCTCTGTAAAAAAAAAATAAATCAATAAAATATAAAAAAATAAAAATAAATAAAGGGAGGAGAGGGCCTTTGTAGAGCAGAGTTGAGGGGAATGGTGGTGGCAGTTTGAGATGGTTGCTGACGGGGATGCAAGGGGCCTTTTTTAGGATACTGAGGGCCTTTCTGGGGCAGAGACATTCAACTATAGTACATGGTGTGACTTCCCTCTGGGAACGTTGGGTCCAGGGTTCAGCGGGGGGACGCTGAGGTGTGGTATTGATTCCCATGGGTGAGACAGAAGAAGAGGGTTGCAGTGGATGGAGGGTGTGGCAAGGGCCTGAGTCAGATGATCAGCGATGGGGTCCACATTGCTAGGGAATGAAGACGGGGACACACTCCAGGGAGTGAGGGGCTGTGAGCACTACAAGGACAGGAGGTTAAGAGTGATGAGCTGTGCCCTCTAACTCTAAGGCGTGGCCCTGGGAATGGCAGACTAGATCAGGAGCAAGGGTTAGAGGCTCACAAGCAGTGAGGGTGCCAGGAACTGGAGTCCCTCGCTGCTGTGGGCTGCGCTCTGCTCTCTGTGGTGCTTCGAATTGCTCATTCAACAGCAACTCTGTGAACAGGTGCAGTTATCACCCCTGTTTCTGTGTGAGGAGACTTAGCCTCCCAAAAGCTTAAGTAATTGCCCGGGTCCCATAGTTAATAAATAACGGGATTCTAATCCGGGTGTCCAGGCCCCTCTAACCACCCCTTTTTCACCCCTGTGCTCTAGTTGCTTTAGGAGCTGACCTCTGGCTGAAGGGAAAATTGAGAACGAAGTCTCTCTTCCATTTCTTTCCCAGTGAATAGACGTTACCAAAAATAGGTAGGTGCCAGTGAGAACTCCGAGAGCCTTCAAGGAGGCAGAATTTTTACATGAGGTTGGACGAGAACTGGGCTCAGCCAGCACCTCCCCGTGGAGAGAGGCCCTGTCAAAGGGTTGAGAGGGGACCGCAATTTAGCATTTAAAGGGTACAGTTTCCGTTTAGGAAGCTAAGAAAGTGCTAGAGGTAGATGGTGGTGATGGCTGGACAACAATGTGAATGCTCTTAATGCCGCTGGAGTGTGCACTCGCTAAAGTGGGTACATTTAACGTTGTGTGGATTTTACCACCATAAAAAATTAAAGGTGATGGAGGCAGAAAATGATCATTGCTACCATTTATGAAGCCTTTTTTTTCTGGTACGAAATGGGAACTTATTAAATATATGAAAGTGCCCTGGCCGGTTTGGCTCAATGGATGGAGCGTTGACCTGCAGACTGAGGGGTCCCAGGTTCAATTCTGGTCAGGGGCATGTACCTTGGTTGCGGGCACATCCCCTAGTAAGGGTGTGTACAGGGGGCAGCTGATTGATGTTTCTTTCTCATCAGTATTTCTAACTCTCTATCCTTCTCCCTTCCTCTCTAAAAAAATCAGTAAAATATATTTAAAAATAAATAAATAAATATATGAATGTATGTCAGGGATTTTGCTAAATGCTTTATGCGAATTTTTTTTCATTTAAACCCTACTGCATAGATGCGGGCAGCTGGTGCTGCCAGATCCCTCTGACTCTAAAGCCTTTAGTAGCAGCCCCTAGGAATTTAACAATGAAAAGAAGGTTCCAGAGTCTGTAGTGGAGAAGGGAGAGAGAGGGGTTGTTAGCATAGGGCTGGATGAGGAGGGGAAGGGGAGGAGGAGGGAGCAGCAGGACTACAGGGTTAAGAGTTTGGATGCAAGGACAGTCCTCTGGGGCCAGGCTGTGCGTGGGCTGTGAGGGGGCTGGTGGGAAGTCCAGGTAACACTGACCTGGTCTTAGAAGGAGGTTGGGGCTCCAGAGAAGCATCGGGCCCGGTATTGGGGCGGGGGGGGGGGGTGGTGGGGTGGGAGGGGGAGAGATATGTCTGCTGTCTTCAGACAGTCTTGCTGGTAGAAGATTCTTCCCAGATTGGGACCCGTAGAGGGAGATGTGGACAGTGCAAAGATAGGGCTAACCTCTACCTACTTTCTCCTTCCTTTCTCCCTCCTTACTTTCCCCTTCCCCTTCCCCTTCCTTTTCCCCTTCCCCTTCCTTTTCCCCTTCCCCTTCCCCTTCCTTTTTCCCTTCCCCTTCCCCTTCCCTTTCCCCTTCCTCTCCTTCCACCCATATGTCTGAAATCAACAACCTGAAGTTGAATTTAGGGGCATGAATATGGGGAGGAGGCTGTGGTGCAAAGGACTGACTTTTTCTAACGCTGACAGCAGATTCCAAGGGTGAGGTCAGACCATGGCCAACTCCCTGCCTTTGTAGCCCATCGGCAAACAGCCGCAGATTTTCTTTCCTTTTAGCAGAATGGTATAAAACACATCTATTAGGAAATAGACTTGACCTGGCCCCTCCCGAAGTTTTTAGCTTGTAACCTAAGACTCCTAAGGTGTATCCTGTCTTCAGGGGTGGCCAGTGGCCCTTGTGACCCCTGGCTGGGGATGCGGGCCTATTCAGATATTTGAGTTTGGTGAGGTGTTTGTGAAGTGATCTTAGCTGTTTATGAGGGAAGTGCTCCTTTGAGAGTTCCTGTTATCATTTTACTTCTCATGTTTACTTTGGATCCAGCAGAATCCGTTCAGTCTCCTGCTGCTGGTTTTAGATTCTGCACTGTTTAAAGGCAGGCTTCTTGAGCAATGCTTGCTGTGTCATTGGTGGCCGTGGAGAGCGAGGCCCGTGGTTGTGATTACATAATAACGCTGAATAAATAAAGAGATGTTCTCCTGGCCTGTCCTGGAAAAGCAGCTTGGGAGCCAGCATCCCTAGGGATTCGGTTGCTCTGCAGTTAAATTTTGCAGCTGTCAGATGTGCAGCAGCAGCTGAGCCGTAATCTCCAGGTGCAAATGGATCTTCATCAGCATCATCAGAAAGTGAGTCCTGGGAGGACCCAGTGCCCCAGGATGCTGCTGTCTACCAAGAGTCGTCTGCAGAACCTTGTTCCTGGATGTAATACGTTTTACCCAGTAGCTGGCTGGATCTACAGAGCTTTGCAACAGTTTTTTTCAAGGAAAGGTAGAGGGTCAACAAGCTTGCTGGCACCAATTCTGATGAATCATTTAACTGTCCCTTTTTCTCCGACTGAGAAACATTTGAGGCTTAGATAGAATGAGGCAAATTGGATTTCCCTTAAAATGAAACTAGGCCTAAGATAATGATGACTAAGGTAGCCCTTAGTTTAGTGAAATAATAACGGCAAACATCATAATCTGGGCCAGTGCCTTCCTGGTGCTACCTCAGGCTCCTTGAGAAAGGATCTTGTCTTTTGTTCACTAGTGTATCCCCAGTGAACAGGGTAGGGACCCAGTGGATGGCCTGCATGCAGATAAGGATCCTGAGGCTCAGAGAGGTTAAACGGCCCGCCCATGGCCACACATTAATAGCAGATTTCTGGACAGTAGGTGAAAGAAGAATGTGGAAGGCACAGAGCATTACGTCCTCAGAAACCTCTTCTTGAAAACATTACTTACTATGACTTTAAAGTTGTCTTAAGTTTCACAAAGTAAGTTTCTCCATTGATTAAAAACATGAATTTTTAAAAACTTTATAGTTGAAAGTATTACAAATGCCCCCCCATTTTTTCTCCCTTTGACTCTCTCTGCCCTGCTCCTGCCCCCTCCCCAGGCCTTCCCCACACTAATGTTTGTCTGTGGGCTATGTGTATATACATATAATCTCTTCCTGAATTTTTAAAATTAATTTTATTAAAACGAATATTATATGATATAGTTTTATAATTATAATGTTATGATGACTAAATGAGAAACAGCTTAGCATAGTGCCTGTACTTTGTAAGTGCTATATCTGTTTGAAAATTTTCCTTGAGTGTCATTTATTTTTAAAAGGATGTTTGCTTACTTGGTTTTCTTTTTGAAGTAAAAACTAAAGCTATGAAGACTATCTGTAAGAATAGACTTGAATGAGAAAATATCAGTCAAAGTTATAATAGGAAAGCCAAGAGTGAGGTCTGATTTTAGTAATAAGAATATTATGTTACCATCTGAACACTGCATGAATAAAAATATTTTATTAGCTGAACAACTAGAACAAAAATTTTAGAAAAAATTGTCCATAGAGCACCAAAATTGCATATTATAAGAGGGTGTTGGTGTTTAGCCCAGTAGCCTAAACATTTTTGACATAGCAGTTCTATCAATCAGGTACTTTTTGCTTATACCTGCAACATTTATATATTTATGAATTATAAACACAAATTGTTTACAATTAAGCTATTTGCATTATAAAATACACAAAAATAAAAATAAAAGAATTAAGCTGGGACCGGTTTGGCTCAGTGGATAGAGTGTTGGCCTGCTGACTGAAGGGTCGCCGGTTCGATTCCTGTCAGGGGCATGTACCTTGGTTACCGGCACATCCCCAGTGGGGGGTGTGCAAGAGGCAGCTGGTCGATGTTCCTCTGTCATCGACATTTCTAACTCTCTGTCCCTCTCAATTCCTCTTTGTGTAAAATCAATAAAATATATTTTTAAAAAAATTAAGTGAACACGATTAGACACTCTAATATTTATTTCTTATCCAGGAGATCACTCGTACCTTCCTCTTTTTATCTGTTTTAGAAGGACTGAAAGTAATCTATAGAAGAAAGCAGGTGGCATTTTTTGAGGAAAGGCTTGCTAGTTTTTTGGACCGATAGTGTATGCGAAGTTGACAGAGAGGTAGACCATCAGGCAGACTGAGTGTAGGATGTTATGGGGCGTAAACTATCGATAGAAGGCTCCCCTCTCCCTAGCCATCTGCTTAAAATCGTTGGTGAGGTGGTCACACTCCTACAGATTAACGTGTCCCTGTTAGAATTGTCTAAATGCTTCCTCCTAACTAACTATACCGGACATGCTGGAGAAAAAACATATATAGTTCATATGCCAAGTATGCAAAATTGCTTTTAAGTTTGAAAGGTATTCCAGCTATTTGGAAGGAATAGGCCTGAACGGAGTGGCAGGGAAGTCAGGGCAGTCATTTGGAAGCGAGAAAGTGGAAATAAGGTGGTCACTGGATTTGATTTCGGCAGGAGCTGTGGGCGGGTAGAGGGGCAGGGAGGCGGCCCCAGGAGAGATTAGGGTAAAGGCTCCGGAAGGGCAGCAGCAGAGGGCCTGGAGTGGGGCACCGGCTGTTGTTGTTGTGGGATATTTGGCCGTAAACTAGTCTTTGTTTCCCTACAAATTAACATTTTATGAGACTGTCAGATAGTTCACCAGCTTTTGGATTAAGAGCTCACACACGAAGGGATCAAGTTAACAAACCACTGTTTGAGTACCTGTGGCAGCACCCAAAGTAGATGCCATCATCCCGGCGGCATCGGTGCCCACCTCAGGCCAGTGGGTGGTAATGACTTTGAATGGATTTGGGAGGATGGTTGGAGTAGACCATCATCTCCAGTTTTCTGTTATCTCTGGGACTGGGTTAAACTGCTATGGAAAGTTGGGAATTCCAGACAGATTTAGAATCCAAATGATTGTTTTTGAAGGAACTAAGAACAGACGGGAGAAAGAAATGGTAGATTGGGCAAAGTTTCATTTGAAGTTGCGCAAAATTATGTACTTACGTAGTACTGAACAGAAAATGGAATCTGAGAGCACCTCAACAGAGATGGCATTTTATTTATTATCCATTAATTAAATACCTAAGTGCTATTGGAGTATATTCTGCATAGCATTTCACAACAAGGGAGAAGGGAAAAAAAACACCTCTCCTGAAAAATAGGTGGGCCGGATAGTAAAGAAGAAATAGAAATAGCAAATATGGATGTGTATGGGTACCTTGCATTCCCTTAGCAACTTTCTTAAAAGATGGGATATAAGTTTTC